TTATGTGAGTCTAGAGATGGTTGTTGTTAGCTGCCATCAAGTGGGCCCTGACTCACGAGGACCCCATGTGTTACCCACTTAACACTAATGTAAAGTCTTTTTCATCCAGGAAGCCCACCCTAAGGAAACTTTTGTCATGTACCTCCCAATTCCAAATCCATAGCAAAAAAGTATTTTCACGATTAAAAAAAAATCCCACATACTTTCTCTTTTAACGTAAGGTGTTCACAATTCCCACATAAACACTTTCTTTTAGAGCAAAATCTTTGGTACGTGGAAACTCAGGGATTAACCAGTTGTTGCTGTTAGCTGCCCTCCGGTGGATTCTGACTAAGGGTGATCCCATGTGTGCAGAGTAGAACTGCTCCACAGAGTTTTTAAGGCTGTGACCTTTTGGAAGCGATCGTCAGGCCTGTCTTCGGAGACACCACTGGGTGAGTTCAAACTGCCAACCTTTCAGCTAGTAGTCGAGTGCTTAACCATTTGCACCACTCAGGGACACCCAGGGATTACATGGTAAACTCTGTTATTCTGATGGTAACCCCCAACCCTCCACAAAAAAAGCCCATTGCCGTCGAGTTGATTCTGACTCATAGCAACCCTATAGGACAGAGTAGAACTGCCCCGTAGAGTTTCCAAGGAGCGCCTGATGGATTAGAACTGCCTACCTTTTGGTTAGCAGCCAAACTCTTAAACACTTCGCCACCAGGGCTTGGATGGTACCTAAAGTAGGTGCTTCATTCACTAATTTAAATCCATTTCAGCCGTTTCCATCAGGGTTCTTCGTTAAATTTCTTTAGACAATCTATATGTTTTGCAATTTTATGAATTACTAATTTTCAAAAAACAAAAAAACTGCCTCTCTCTCTTTAACACATTCAGAAGCTCCAATTAATTTCTTGCTTGTAATTATCAAAAAAATAATACACACCTTGATCAATTTCCCACCTGTGCATTTCCGGATGTTTATAAATGAATTGAATTGTGGAGGGAAAAGCTCCCAGTGCCTCTTATCGACCAATAATTCTCTTGTCATTTGCTGAAAGCAAGTGGTATTCATTTACTCTTTCTTGAAGTTCATAGTAAAAGCAAACAGGTAGATTTTTGTTAAGAATCTTTAGGTTGGTAGATCTGAAGGCTTTGAAATGAGATAAATGCGTACTTCAGACTAAAGAAACGAGCTTTTGAAGCAAAGGTTTGGAAAAAAGAGGAGGCTTTGCACAAACTCAAGGCATTTAGTCCACCTGTTTGAATAAGTATTTTCAAACAATAGTGTGTCACTAAGGTTAATAATAGACACTGAAAAGAATGTATTATACTATTGTGATTTACTCTATAAAAATGCACTGAAGTAAAAGGTAAAAGGAGAATTTAGGAATAATGATTTGGTACCTCTCCACCACTTCCCTGAATTCGGTTAGTAAATTGAGAAATCTGGCTGACTGGTTCCAGTCTGGGCGTTGCTGGTTTCTGGAAATGTTCTCCCTGCACCTTTCCAAAAGCAGCTGTTATGCTGTGTGGAAAATGATTAACTCTGTCACCTCGAACTTTGCATGCCTGCTTTTAAGTATGATGGGGTTCAGTCTTGCGGTGGAAAAAACACAGAAGTCACCTTAAGTCTTACCAGTGCAATAATTTTAATAGTCCACACTAAATAGGCGGTACGGTTTTGTAGTTCAACATCAAATATGATTCTGCCTTAAAATATTTCTACTTAAAATGCTTCCTTCTCTCCCCCATCCCTCCACTTAAGTTATAGTAAGTCTACAGAAGTACTTCTAAAGTGCATTTCTCAGGCATTAAAAACAGCACTGTGATTTGCTTGTCAGCAGGGAGTCCTGAATCACACCGCACCTTCCTCATTTGAGGGGCTGTGTAGTTCAAGTTAATACCATCTCTTAACAGAAGGACCCTCCTCAATCCCACAGGTAAGGTGAGGTGGAGGTGACATAGCTTTGTGGGAAAAAAAACTATACCAACCTCCTCTGCGGTAGGTATCTTCTCTTACCACAAAAAATTCTAATGCATCCTTGAGTCATGAAATATTGAAAACTATTGACATTTCATTTCCATAAAATAGTGGAAGGCCTTGTATGAATATCCTAAATTTGGTGGGATGAGACACCAAACGCAGGGGCAGGTCAGACTTTTCAGGCTTAGAACTAGGGGTTGGGAAGTGGCAAGAGGAGACTGTCCCGGAGCACTCCGGCTATTGATTCTCTTCATGGGGGTCGCAGGGGACTCCTGCCTCCTCCGAGGATACGACTCCCTCCGGGAGCAGCGTGACGCGAACCTGCCTCTTCTCCTTGAAGCGGCCTGAGCGAGAGATCTTCAAACTGCGGCGGCTGTTGCCCGATTTCTCCCCGTATAACTTGTCTGGCTTGTGCTGCTCGCCGGCGTCCCCGGAGAGATTCAGGTGCAGGTTCTTCTCGGAGCTGCTAGTCCAGTCCGGATTGAGTGTCGCGGGCTGCGCAGGCTCCCCGGGGGCGGGCTGAGCAGGAGGCTGCGTCTCCACCGTGGCTTCTTTGCTTTTCTTCCTGCTGTTCATTAGCGATTTCCACCAGGGGCCGGAGCTGGCGGTGCCGCCGCTGTCAGCCATGGCCGGCCTCCCGAGCGGCCGGGGCGCCGCAGGTGCGAAGGGCCTCGGCGGCGTGGCCCCGCTTTCCCCGTGGTCTCCTGCCGTTCACTCCACCCTCCCCGGGCTTTCACACGTGGGATGCGGGGTGGGAGCTGAGGCAGCGTCCTGTGCTGGGGAAGAAAAGAAAACTGGTTACCGGGTTTCTTGAAGTCATGTGCCCCTCCATTTCATTCCCTCCCCTGCGCTCCGCCCGGCACCGGATCATCCAGGCTCGGAGGGCCGGGAGCGCGGAGCCGCACTGTCTTAAGAGTGCCCCGCCGCGTCCCCGAGGGCGCTGGCGGAGGAATGGCATCCAGGGCGCCACCATCTGGTCGCGAGGCTGCGCCTTCTCATTCCCAGGAGGGGAAGTGCAATGGTCAGTGCGCAAGGGGTACTGAGGAGCAACGGGGTTTCCAGAAGGAAAACGGCCTGTTCTGACCCTTCTGCCTGACTGTACGATGGACGTACAAAGGTGATCCACCCAGCCCAGAATGGCATCTCCTCGGATGGGCACCTAACAGGGTGCTGCGAACCAAACTTGTCCAGCTATAGGTGAACGATGAGTATCCGACCACTGTCAAACATTCCTGAAATTTTCCCCAAAGCTTTTGCCCCATAGACTTCTGCCCCAGGATCCTTTTCAGTGGGATACTTCGAGCAAGTTACATCCCAGTAAGAGCGAGGGACAAACTCCTGGTGTTGTTTGTTTTTAATTTTGCTTTTAACACACAGTCTGCCTGTGACTTCCAGAGAAGCATGTCCAGACGTAACTTCCCTTGGCAAGCGCCATCCTACTCTTCTTTTTATTCCCCTGAGACCAGCCTTGCGTCTCTATGCAGCCAGACCCCGCCGACGGTTGAGACGAGGCCAAATGGCCAACGTCCCTTTCCCTTCTCTTTTAAGATACGCACCAAAAGTCTGTTTGTACTATGCAACTCTTGAGATTTTTAGTTACAAATTAGAAATTTCTGTTCTTTCAAACTCTTCTTCAAAGGAGAGAGGGAGCAAACTACGCCGACTTCAACTTGCTTTTCCCCCAAGCTTTACAAAAACCCTCTCGGCGGAGCGAAAAGTCTGCTTATTAGAATTTAAAGTGCTAACCTTAGTAGTGAGACCCCTCAGTGCACTTTCTGTGCTTGCTCTACTCGGAACTAACACCAAGAAAGCGCAAGGATCCGTTTGCTCCACGGGTCATTTCTGAGTTTACGCTCCGCTCCTTCTCAACTCATGCGCTCCGCGGTCCTGGGACTCGCGGTCGAGCTCCAGAGCGAAACTTCAGCGGCGTTTGTTGCTGGAGGCTCTCCTAGCAGAACTGCCGGGAGAGGAAGTCCCAGCGCCTCTGGGAGGCGGTGCAGCAGCCCTGGCTGCGCCAAAAACCGCCGCACCAGCTCCTCCCAAGAACGTCCCGAGGGCACACTCCGGCTACAACTTGAAAACAATGGAAGAAAAAATAGCCAAAAGTTCTCTCCCTACCAAAGGCACTCACGCCCTTAGGCACAGTGCGCAGTGGAGTTTCCAACAGGACTTCTATCCGGTTAGTTCCATTTGGAACTCTTGCTGAAAATTTGCATTTTTAACAAGTTCCCTGCTGATAATTTGCATTTCCACCCCCAGATAATACTGAATCATAATCTACATTTTAACAAGATCCTCAGATGATTCTTATGTATAAATTCCTGGGAACTTGTTAGAAATGCAAATTCTCAGCAGGGAAGTTGTTAGACATGCAAAATTTTCGAACCTGTTCCAGCCCTAGTTTCCAAATATCCTGCTCCTTCCTACTTTGCAGATCAGAAAAACACCCCAAAGCTATTTCTGCTTGGAGGTGTCCTGGTGCTGCTTTCTGTCTCTAGTGTACGCTTTTTTTGGTTCACCCCGATCAACTACGTTCGCACGGAATGGCTTTGTATGAATTGCGCGAGGGAAAGATTTGATTCATTAGCAAATTTCCGCCGCGCGCAGTCCTGGAGCGCTGGAGACCAGCATCTGCTCCTCCGACACCCGGAGGCCGAGGACTGGGAGGTGAGGGGCAGCACCCCAGGGTGACACCCCGGCGCCAGGCTCTTTCTCGGCGGACGCAGAACCATCCCCGGTCGCTCACCTACTCTTTCTTCGCAGGACTCGGCGGCCCGCCTTGGCACACGCGGCGGTGAGCACGGAGTGGCGAGTTCGGAGCACCCCGGAAGCCGAAGCGCGGCGTCCCTCCGCGCGGTCTGGGGAAGTCGGGCTTCTGGAAGGTGTGCCGGCCAGCGGGCGCTCGGAGGCGAGCAAGGAGTCTCCGCAGCTCGTGCTAAGCCGAGCGCTGCTGCCGGTCTGCCCAGGCGCCGCCAACTTCTGGGCTGGGCGCCGGCCACTTCAGCAGCAGGTCCCGGCTCACAACGCCGCAGGCTCCGGCCGGTGGTGGGAAGGGAGGGGTACCAGGCTCGCCTCCCCAGGTGAAAACCTTGGCAAGTTCTCCCAGTTAGTAGCCTTTCATTCTCGGGCGCGTCCCTCTCCCCTCACATCGCCGCCAGCGAGGCGCACCGAGATGGGACTCCGGTTGCTCACTGTGGCACACTGAACCTTCCTACGTGTCGGTCCTAGTCGCTGGAAGGGACATGTGTTCACCCTCTGGTTATTCGCTAAGTGATTCGACAAAACAGAACCCCGGGGTAACGAGCGAGCGAGCGAGCGAGAAAATAACCCAGGAGGCGGCCACTGCTGCCACAGGTGCAGGTGGGAACTTAATGTTCCCGCCCTCCAGGGGACGCGATTGGATCAGGTCGCAGAGGTGGCGCCAGCCTTGGCGTGTCTGATTGGAGAAAGGCTGTGATGCGCCGCTCGCCGGACCGACTCCCTCCAGAGGAGAAGCGGTGGCGGTACGGATGGCAAGGAGACCCAGGCTTTAGGTGGGCTTCGCTAGATGAGTGTTGCCGCGGCTCTTCCTCTGCCTTCCCCGCCACGTGACTTCTCCTCCCACCCTCTTGTCCCCAACCGTGGCCACGCAACTCCTGGGCTCCCAAATTTTGCGACTCAGGAGCTGTTTCATACCTGGGCAGCCTGTGGCGGAGAGTTTCAGTGCCCTGGGTCTGAAAGGAGGCATCATTATTAACAACGTTGGTGTGTGCCAGCCAAGCGCTGCTCAAAGCGCGTCCTGTGATTAACTCATTTACTCCTCACAGCAGCTCTTGGAGGTAGGTATTCTTATTAGCCTCCTTTGACTGACAGGGAAAGGTTAAATAGTTGCCCAAGGTTGCATGGCCCGTAAGGGGCAGAGCCGGGTTTGAACCCGGGAGCTACTGCGATCTTAACCACCCCATCCACCCATTTGTAGCCTGCCAGTCTCGGGCTCTTAACACGACTAAGTGAGGGTGTGAATTTCCTTTTCTCAGTTCTGGAAGTCCAGTGGACTGGAAGGGAACTCGTGGCTTCATCAAGGTTCAGGAGGCTTTTTGCTTCCGGTCACATATTGTGCTTTTTATTAGTTTGAAGTGTTAACATAGGGTATTTTCACTAATGAAGGCAGAGGTGTAGCTTGCATCAACGTTCAGGATGCTCTCTTTTTTCAAAGTACTTTTAGGTCCCCCGAGGAACTATTTTAATGTTCCTTAAGCTCATGTATGGGCATAACTCCTCCGAATGACTGACTAGTACGGAGCAACATCTTGCCGTCTAGTCAATTCTGACTCAATGGTGATCCTATAGGACAGAGTAGAACAGCCTCATAGGGTTTCCAAGGGGTGGCTGGTGAATTTGAACTGCCGACCTTTTGGTTAGCAGCCGAGGACTTAACTACTGCGCCACCAGGGCTCCTTCTGCAGTATAAAAGTGGTAAAAGATGTAAAACAAAAACAAAAACAACAAACCCGTTGCGGTCGAGTCGATTCCGACTCAAAGCGAACCTATAGGACAGAGTAGAACTGCCCCATAGGGTTTCCAAGGAGAGGCTGGTGGATTCGAACTGCTGTACCTTTGGTTAGCAGCCAAGCTCTTAACCACTCTGCCACCAGTGCTCCGAAAGACATAATGCCTACTCTCAAATAGCTTAACAATATAGAATTAGTAGAAAAATTATAAAGAGTATTTTAATGCATGAAATAATATGAATACTTTATATGATTAACTTCTTAGTTTGTGATTCTTTGAATTTTTACGTGCACCCACCCAGTGCTGTGGAGTCGATTCTGACTCACAGAGACCCTATAGGACAGGGTAGAACTGTTCCATAGGGTTTCCAAGGCTGCACAGCTTTATGGAAGCAGACTGTCACATCTTGCTCCTGCAGAGCGGCTAGTGGGGAACCTTTCCGTTAACAGCCGAGTGCTTAACCGCTGTGCCACCAGCGCTCCTTATGATATACACAACAAGTATATTTGAAAGTTTTGCATTTTCAAATATTGTGGGATTAGTTTTAGAGCCTAAGTGTTCAATCATAGCATCAGGACTGACAAAGGCCACCAACTTTGAGGGACAAGTCATAATAGTGCCATCATGTTACAGATGAAGAAATTAGACGAGGAAGAATGCCCTTATCTGAGGGGTTATCACCGCTAGGAAGTTGTGAGGCTGGGTTGCTGCTACATTGTTCCTTGACCAAACGGCTGAAAGACAATTTTAGGAAAAGAAAGTTAATACTGCCAAATGACTTCTCATCCAGTGGGATTTAACAAACAGGTCAGAATTTTCTTAATAAATGAATATCTACTAACTGTTGAAATAAATAATTCATTTCCTTGTATCTCCCCTCCCAAGTTTCTACTTAACAATATTGAATGTTTCTGTCATGTTTCACTGATTTACTGACACGCATTGCCTTGGAGTTGATCCTGACTCCTAGTGACCCTGTAGGACAGAACAGAACTGCACCATAGGGTTTTCAAGGCTGTAATATTTACGGAAGCAGACTGCCGTGTCTTTCTTCCATGGAGCCACTAGTGGGTTCGAACCACAACCTTTCAGTTAGCAGCTGAGAACTTAACCACGGGGGTGATGGCAAGGAGTGG